TTTGTGGCTTGCCAACCTCGATATTCTACAAGCATTCGATAATGTCACTCCGTGCCTCGCCATGCGCTGTCTTCGTGCTCTTGACATACCAGCTGATCTCATTGTGGCGTTGATTGAACCCATGATTGATAATCCGTGCGTGGCCAGCTTCGAGGGCATCGAGGCATCTTCAGCTGTCTATTGGGACAAATATATTCGAACGGGAGGAGTGGAGGGGCCGATGATTTTTCTAGCAGTATCTATTGTACTCTGGAGAGATGTGATTGACAGGTGGAGGCAGGATACGCAGTACGGTATCAAGTTGGAATATGATGAGCGCATGTTCAACGGTGAGCGTATGACCCACAGTTTCTGGGCATATAATCTTCTGTTGTATGCGAAGACCCGCTCTGACCTCGAGTTGATGGTGCGTGACATGAGTATCCCGCGGATGAATGCAGGAATGACCTGGAAGCCGAAATCCTTGATGTATATTTACTTTGGTGCGCCGCCTGGCATCCCGCCGTCCCCCGAGCAGGATATCCGTGTGCTGGTGCCGTCTTATGACGCTGCTCTTGGGGCCCGAGAAGTGGTCCTGCCGCGCGTTCAGTCGTTTGAGATCCTGGGAGCCACTCTGGAGGAGACCTGGAAGGACCACTCGGATTCAGAGGCCATGCTCCAGAAAGCCCACAAGATATTCTTTGGGGAAATCGCTTATTATCGCTGCTCTGGTATTGATTTGGCTGAGAGATTTACTCGTTATCAAGCTAAAGTGATCGCTGCACTATTATTCAACTGTGATGGCAGAACGCCCGACTATTCCACCATTGCTGCTGTTCACTCTTTTGAGGGCAGATGCCTGGCGTTAATGTCAGGTCTACGCAAGCGGAGAACTGAAGGATGGTCTGAGTTTCAACGTAGGCGATACAAAGTTGGACGGCAGAGTTTTGTTGAGCTTGGATTCCGAAGTGCGGTGCAGATATGGATATTTCGTTGTTGGGATTGGGCCAAGGATGTCTCAGTTGCTGCAAGTATTCGTATGAGGAGGTACACAACACACACAGTGGAGGAGGAGGGGGGGACGGTACCAAATCGGCGTCAGAGGAAAACTCGGGCGATGGCGGTGGCGGCGGCCTCTCATGTATCCCAGATCTCCCAGATGTCGAGTGGCGGTCGTCGGCGGACAACGGATGATCAGCCTGCCATACCTGAGGAGTCGGACATGTCACGTGAATGGATGATATCTAGGCTGGCCATGCTACATGGAAGGGGGAAGTGGACGGAACATCGGGACACATGTATTCTAGCGTTGCCTGCAAAAGATAGGAAGCATCTCGCGCGCATGAGCATGGGTGCGCCTGCCCGTGGACATACTGTGTGGGACTGGTGTTTGTGCGATCTCTTTGGTTGTGAATGGTACCTCTCGTTCGACAGCTCCGCTGGGTCCCGAGAGAAATATTGCAAACATTTGCTGACTGTGATTGGCATGCAACACTTGTTCGACTTGTTTGTTTTACCCAGGCCACCTGGTGTGAGGCACGTGAAGGCGGAGGAGGAGGAGGAGAGAGAGATGAATGAGAGGATTAGCAAACGTATTGCCGCTAATTATGAGAATTAAACGGAGTGGAGGTGTGAGAATATTGAGCGTCTCGGGATGGAGATCTTGTGAGATAGTAAGACGGTTGCTAACTGGATGTGTGGTGAGTGGCAGATTCGCAACAAACAGTATGTACGACTGGTGGGAACATTACAAAATACGGTATCGATGCTGTCTGGATGGGGACTGACCTCACCTGCATCAGGACAGAATCTGTATGAGCATTTCTTTCGTGAGGGTAATGAACGTGCGGATAGATTGTCGTGGGAGGCCAGAGGTGGCCAAACTATTACTCGCTTGTTTGCATATGATCAGTTCCTCAGTACTCGTAAGACTGCTCTCCGTGGTGCATTCGATGGGGGTGTCAGTAATGAAGGATGTGGAGGTGGGTGGTGGCTTCAGATTGGCGTTGTAGGTAGGGGTTCCAGCATGCAGGTTGATTTTCCCATCTCCTCCTCCTCCTCCTCCTCCTCCTCTTCCTCCTGCACCAGCTCGCACAGCTTCCATTGGCACGATGCGGCCGAGGAGGCGATGAGCTTGCCTCCAGGTAGCACGGTAACCTGCTGTGAACTAGCTGCCTGCGCGGCCCTGACGAGAGCTGCTGCTAAGGTGGCGTGCGCTCTGCTGCGACCTACCTAAGATGGTGGGGGCTCAGTTGCACTGCTCCGCCGATTCGGATTTGGATTCTAGTGGCGGACCGCAAACCGCAAAAAAAACCAAGGTTGACGGTTTACCGCCGCCTCCCAGTAATAGGTACCCGATCGACCTGAGATCAAGATGGCGAGCGGGAGTAATATCGAATATGGGGGGACAAATATTAGAGCTCAAACGAATGTTCAGATTTCGAGAAATTTCATTTCAATAGGTCAAATCAAGAGACAAAGCTTCCATCGAGTTCTTTGCCAACTAGCCCCCCGGCGCGCCCAAATTACTCTCTAGCTTCGCCGCTTCGCTCTTCGGGAAGCTCGACGAGTCACTTCCGTCGAAATTCTTTGGCCAACTCGGAGCCAGCGGTGAACCGTCAACCAGATTGCCGCCGGGACCCGCGTACAGCTCTTTCGCGGACAAGAACTGCAGATCCGGAAGGGGGCCGCCTCGAAACTCAGCGCGAAAACTCGCGAAATACATTTTCAGGGTTTATATAAAAAGTCCGTTCCTCCATGTCTTTTGACAGTAACTGGAAGCTGGCGGTAAACGGTCAACCAGGTTGCCGCCGGGACCCTCGTAGAGCTCTCAAATACGCAAATGAGCGCCCATATGGGAGCGCCGCCGACAACGGCCGCCCAGCTGCCTCCGCTACCCGAGTTTTGGACGCCAACAAGTTTGGCGCAGCAGTCGAAATATAATCATCAGACGCGCTAGTCTCGAGTATCTCGATATCCGAATTCAGTCTGCTTCCAGAGCTGGTGCCAAGCAAACTAGTCGTAGTCTACTAAATCGTTCGTTTTTTTCCCTCTCCACTTGGCCCTTTCTGCTCGTCATGCTGCTCTCCCTCATTCCCCTCCTTCTCCTCTGCCTGCTCCTTTTTCTCCTCCTTCTTCTCTTCCTTAGACTCCTCCGTCTCCTTCTCCTCGTCACTCTGAACTCGGTCTGCTACCATAGCTGAGCCCCCAAAACTATTCGTGCTCTGCTATTTCCCCCCCCGGATAGCTCCTTGGGGGCGGAGGCTGGTGGTGCCCGCCAGCAGCTCCTCCGCGCCGGTTCAGAATCCTCGCAGCGGCTCGTTTGAGGTTGCAGCGGGTCCCGGAAGCTCCCGTTCCGACGCGTTCCCGTAGAACGTGTCCCAGAGGCCCCGCGAAGCTTACCAGAAGGTCTCCCAGGAAGTCCCCGGGCCAGGTTGGCCATGCCGGGAAACTCGCAGAGGTAGGATGGCGACGTTGCCAGAGCTTCGATTCCAGCGTTCTCATGGCCGCCCGCCGCTGCCGCCGCCAGCGTCCGCCGCCGCCCACCGCCGACTGCCGCCGCCCAGCTGCCTCCAACAAGTTACGAGGTGATGATGAGTTTCTTAGGATAACTCGAGCTGCAGATGAGCTACAGAGCTGTTCAAAGCAGCATCGAAAGCGAATCTTGAGGCCCGTCGGCAACGTGGGCGCGCGGTGGGAAGTACTGGGGGCCGGCGGTAAACCGTCAACCTTGGTTACCGCCGGGAACTCGTAGAGCTTCCTGGTGCAACGCGGGCGCGGCAATCTCGGATCCCGCGCGCGCGAGGATGCGGTTTCATGGGGGCAGACTGGAGAACAAGAAGGAGTGACGAGACAGGAGATGGAGGGGGCTGAGGAAGAGAAGGAGGAGGAGGAGAAGGAGCGGGATAATCAAGAGGAGGGGCAGGATAAAGAAAGGCATCGTCATCTCTGAAACAATGAGTATAGTGCGAACAGTTTTTTGGTTCCAACTCTGGGAAGCAGACCGAGTTCGGGCATCTAGATACTCGAGACTAGCACGTTTCATTATTTTCTTCGCATTGCTGTGCCAAGCAGCTATGTAGCTCCTCTGCAGCTCGCATTATCTTAAGAAAATTACCATTTTCTATTTAACAGAGTACGAATATTTTTTCGGTTCCAGCTCTGGTAGCAGACCGAGTTCGGGCATCTAGATGCGTTCGTCTGGCGCTTCTAAGCATATCCTTTCGATTGCTGTGACGAAGAGCTCTGTAGCGCATCTTCAGCTCGAGTTAAGTCAAGAAAACCATCACCATCTCTAAAACATAGCAGGCTACAAATAGTTTTTTCGGATCCAGCTCTGGTTATAGACCGAGTTCGGGCATCTAGATACTTTAGACGAGCGCGTCTCATGATTCTCTTTCGATTGCTGTGCCAACCAGCTCTGTTGCTCATCTGCAGGCCGAGTTAAGTCATGAAGACCATCTTCATCTCTAAAACAATAGTAGAGTACGAATGTTTTTTTTGGACCCAGCTCTGGTAGCTGATTCCAGACATCTAGATACTTGAGACGAACGCCCCTGATTATTCTAGCTCGATTAGGTGTGCCTACCAGCTCTGTAGCTGCTCTACAGCTCGAGTTAAGTTAAGAAAGCCGACAGCGCCTGCCAAACTGACACTAAACAGCCGATCCCGTCTGGATGCTTTTTGGAAGTAAGATGTACCCAATCGACCTGCGATTCATATGGCGAGCGATAGTAAGATCGAATATGGGAAACATATTAGAAATTATCTAAATAGGTTTAAAAACAGAGCATCCGTCGATATTTTTGTTTGCCAACTGGCCCCCCAGCGCGCCGGAATGACTCTTCTAGCTTCGCCGCTAACGCTTTTAGGGAAGCTCTACGAGTCACTTTGCGGCGGGAAGTACTCTTCAACAGCCTGGCGTCCTCTCAGCGCGCGTCCCGCAGCCCTCGACGTCGGGCCCCAAACGAGCTCTCGCCTACTTCGAGCACGCAACAGCGAAGAAGTCGGCCCCGTGCCGCCTGGCTCGCCCGCCCACGCGTGGACGTACTCGGCGATGCGGTCGTGGTCGGCGCTCTTGATCGAGGATGGGAGCGCCGTCGTGACCTTGCCCCAGCTGCCGTCCGCCGCCTCCGTGCCGTGCTTGAGCGTGACCATGCGGACGTTGCCGTTCCTGTCCTGCACGCGCGCGGCCTTCACGACCGCCCGCTCCTCCTTCTTGTGGCCCACGACGCCGTGCGACAAGGGAAGCTTGCGGTAGTGGGCGCGGAGGCGGTCCCGCCCGTGCCCCAAGGCATTGCTTGGCGGACCCCGCTGCCCTCGCGCGCTCCAGGCAACCCGTGCGGTCACATCAGGGCGAACATACCAAGTCACCAGCAGCGAAGGCCTCGTGGCAGTCGGCGCCGTCGGTCAGGGCGATCGCACCGCGGCCGAGGTGCTTCTTGACGGCCTCGTCGCACTGGGCCCCGCTCAGGGGCACGCCGCCGCCGCCCGCCATGCTCGTCTCCCAGGGGAGCTGGATGAGGAACATGTTGGCCCTGTTCCCGCGCTCGACCATGATGAGCCAACGGTTCCAGCGCAGACGGTAGCCAGGGCATTCAGGTTTGTTCTTATCCCACGGCTTCGTGTAGCTGACCCGCTCGGCCCCGATGCCGCACTCGTCGAGCTTCACGAGCATTTCGTCCTTGAACTTGATGCGGGACTGTTCCTCGCGGCTGAGCTGGGCCATGCGGCGGCGGACCTCGTCCAAGGACGACGCCATGGAATCCTTCGAGACGCCCTGCACCACGGTGCAATCTCCGCGGCTCGGGTGGTGCGCAGCCCACGGCACGCACGCCACGTGGACAGCGAGTAGCCGTGCTCTCCCGTTGCCCCCGGGAGAGATTGGCGCGCCCTCCACGCTCTGGATTGCGACGCCCACCTTCATGCCAGTGCACGTCCGATCGCCGCTGCGGTACCCGCGCAAAGTTGGGGCGTTCACCTGGAGGGATAACAACAATGCCAGCGCGCACGATTCTTTCTGGCTTTTCTAACCAGCAAGAATCGGTGTGAATTTGCAGTGCGCTATCCCGCGGGTGCCTCCACGTTGCCCACGCTCACGGTGATCCCAGGAGACCGCCCTCCTGCGCTCGCCTGGAGGGGCAATTTAGTGCCGCATTCGTGTGGGCACTTCTTGCTCTCCATCCGCGGCAGGTTCCCGAGCGCGACGCCAATCCGAACCCTGTTTACCACGTCAATGCCGCAGATCCCCCTGAGTCAATGCGCTCGAAATTGGTCTTGCAGGCGAGAGGCGATGTCTCCCCTTTCCCAGCGTTCTTGCCGCTGTATCGGGGGCCTGGCAACTCCTTCGCCCTGGCCTTGCCGAGCTTCGCCTTGGCCCCAGGCCTCGGCATCTTACCAGACGAAGCGCAGGCGGAGATCTTCACGTGCTCCTTGAAGTGGGCATCCCCTTTGGACGCTGGGCGCCTCGTGGGCGGGCGTTTCTTTGGCTTGATGGCGGTCTTCGGGGCGGGCTTCAAAACGGCCTTCATGGCGGACTTCATCGTTGACTTCGCCATGGGCCCTGGCGCCTGGCCACCGAGATGCGCCTGCCGACTTTGAGCCTCTCAATTCTACAAGACATGAAGAAGTAGGCATACGCTGCGACGGCGGCGGCGACGAATGCGACGATGACAACGACGACGGCGACGAAACTTCCCGTGGGGAGACGACGACGCAATTCTTTCTCCCATATCGCATATATAAACAAGAAGCTGCACTGCCCATGCCAATCCGCCATGGCGCCGCCCTGGCCCGCGGCGCAAGACGTTTCTTCGTATCGCACATATATATAAATATGTACACGCACAAAACGCTCATCCCAGCTCCCCTCAGCTCATATGGGACGCAGCGGCGCATGCTGAGGGCACCAGCATTGCCCGCGAAGCCCGCGCGAGTCGCCTGCCCGTTCGCGCCCCCGCGACCGCCCGCTCAGTCCATATGCTCCCGAAGAATGCGCGCGCCTCATTCTCCTCCCCAGCCGAGGGCGTCGCAGGCGCCGCGGGCACCCCCTCCTCGGCCAGCATCTGCGAGAGCTGGACGTCGAGATCGCCGCGGGGCGGGGCCGCGGGCCCAGCCAGATGCAGAGGACGACGCCGCGGCATGTTGCTTGGCGGGGGAAGGGCTGTCGACATTGAGCGTCGCCCCCGAGAGCAGGCGCTTCCGAAACCTCAGGCGCTCAGGGGCCGCAGGCTCTCGCTTTGCCTGTCGGGGGGCTCAGCTCAGAGATGGCGTCCTGGGGGGGGGGGGGGGGGGCTAAGGCCGAGGCAGCGTTTCATCATTCAGGTTGCGTTGAAGTGCCCCCTCCGCCTTGGGGGCGCGCCCCTCAGTACCGCATCTTTGGGCCCCGAGACCTGGGCGAACGAAGGGGCTGGCAAGGCGCCGGCGGCCGCGTCCGATGACCTCTTGCGGTTCTTCTCCACGGCGGAATCAACGAGGAGCCTCTCCTTCTCCAAGAGCTGGTCGATCTTGTCGGGCGGCGTC